GAATGAGGTTTTGTTATTTTTATTATATATTCCCTCATCGTTCACAGCACTACATACTTCTTTCACTCATTTACCACATCCTTACACACTTACAATAAGTTAGTTTTTTTTTCTACACTAGAAATTCCCTAGAAATCTTATTTAAGGCAAAACAATGTTTGCCGGGTCAGCTAGTATCTATATATTAATACGTGAAACAAAAACTTTGTATCCCTTTTTACGAAAATTGCGCGGACGGAGGAGTATGAAATTTCTCACACTTATAGAGAATATAGAGAAGAAGTGCACAATGCTAATATTTTTTAAAAATAATGCATAAAAGATACATTAAATCAATAAAGAAAACATTACACACACTACATACCATGCATTTGACACGCATGCATACTATAGGTATTTATTGTCAAACTTTTGTTCTTGACGTTGTCAAATTGAGAATAGATTAAATATTGTTTGTCTTTGTTAATATTTTTTATAGTGTAGTCTTGGCGAAATTTGTGATTATAGAAGTTTAAAATACAATCATAATAGTGTATAAACTTACAATTCCAATTAATTATAGTCCAATTTCGACTACTGCGGGACCTCTAGTATTAATTATTCAGCAAACAAGAAATTATTAATTAAAAAAAATGAATAGACAGTTCTGTTCTAATTTAACGCTCCGATCTAACATACATTTTTAATAAACGAAAAAAATGCCTAAGGTATTAATCACTACTTATTGAAAAATATTACCTATGTATATTTTTAAGTTGTCGTTAAATGCAGAGTGAGAGAGAATGCCTTGTTTCTATTTCTTTCCCTTTCCCGCCAAACACAATTCGGCATAGAATTTGTATCGACTTTTTTTTTTTTAAGATTGAAGGATTACTGGTGGCCCGGCGGTCTCTCCAGTTGCACCAGGACAGGTGGGCGAGCAAAGCCTCAGCCAAGAGGGGTGGGATTTGCTAACAGCTGCCCGAGCGCCTTCGAAGGAGACCTAACAACTCAAGAGCAGCTGCTTCGCGAATGAATCGCGACTCGCTGAGAAGATCCGGCGAGAAACTCAGCGGGCTGATGCATGGGTTAGGTTGCACGTCGAACTCTTTGTCGAGCTCGACCAGTACGGTTACCGGGGTCCCTAAGGCTGCTCCTAGTGTTAGAGCTGAAGACGTTATCAACTTCTCGAAGGTTGGTATAACAATATCCTCTCAATTTTTGTGGCATTGCTGAGGTCCATGACCCACGGTGACCACTCACAATCAGGCGGGCCGTAAGCTCGTTTTATATGGTTACAAAAAACAAGCTTGAATTATTATAACAATTATATTACATTACGGTGTGAGGTGATGCCGATGTGCCGCATAAGTCAATCCCGGGTTGTCTCCTAACGGTTATCTACAATCTGACGATAACATTGTCTAACCTGAACTTCATTGTCTAATCATGTTTTGTGTAATAATTACATTTGTGTCCACCCAACTTCAGCGCCGTCGAAGGTGCGTTATGATTTTAGCATTGTAACCGTTTCCTTGTAGCCAGCGGCTGTCAAAGTGTTTCAAAGATATTCTATTTGAGAATCTCTATAATTCAAATACGAATAGATTCAACGTAATTGTTATATGTTTATGTTGTGTTTGAGTGTGTATATATCATATGTGTATGTGAATATATATGATAGTGTGGCGGGTAGCCATCATACAACGCAGGATAATTGACAGATGCCTGAATCTCGCTTACGACATTTTCAAGATAAAGCGCATATGAGTCGACTATTATCAAAGCCGGCAATGTGACTTTTGGACAATTATTGGTAAATCAGAAAAACGAATTATTGACTTTGTATTCCATTGGCAGTCACAAAACTCTTCTGAACGACATCTTAGATAACTAACAGGTTAAGTATTAACCTTTATTTAATGCAGGTTTTGAATCGTATTCTTTGAAGGAGACGATTATATTCAAATCAATCTGTATTGACATATCAATAACATTTTTTTGTCCAAATGCACAGATTGCCACCTTTGATAATAGACGACTCATATATACAAGTTCCGAACAATAACATCGGACCGTCGGTCTACCGAGCAATATCATTCGCTCGGTGGAAGATCTTCCCTTTGTCGTATATCTTCCCAAAATAGTGATTATATATAGATACGTGTAAATTTTATATTATCATAGTTACGCGCTGGAGTTCGGGATAAATAAAATTCTACCGAATTACAAGCTAACACTGCATTAGCACTTAGAACACTTAAAACACTTAACAAACACTTTAAAATATATATTTTATTATATTTAATATATTTAGTATATATTTTCCATGATAATGTATTATCTGTATTACACCGCAACATACCTGCTATATTTTTACATTTTCTAGAATTTCTGTAAATTAAACGGTTGTCTGGAAGAGATCGCTTTTAGCGATAACACCACCTATTGTACAAATGTATCTCCTTTTTTTTATTGTTTTTTTTGAATGTAAATTGTGTTTTGGTGTGCAATAAAGTGCATTTTCTCTCTCTCTCTCTCCCTAAAACTCTCCATTGGCTTCTTCCGCTTCGCTTCTGGTGATTCGTCTTCGAGTAGTTCCGATTACTCACTGACTGCGTGCCCTCTCTGCAACACTTTTATAGCCGATACCACATCCCTAGAATTATCGAGAATATTCCACACATTTCGAGTATTGTGTTTCCGCTATCTGACAATAGATGGCGTTGTACTTCTCGAGCGTTCTCGATGTTACTATGTAGTTCCTTTGATATTGTTTCTGCTATTCGGCGATAGATGGCGTTATTTTTACCGGCGTAACATTATCATGATATAATATTGTGTACGTTGTTGTATGTGATGATATATATATATATATATGTGTGTGTATACCGTGTGTGTTGTATATGTATGTAATATTATTACCAATTTGGTTATTTTTGCATTAAGTAAGGCACCTACCACAGGTCTCTACACCGCCCTTAGTTGACTGGTAGAGAATGCCTCAAGCATTAAGTCCGCCATTGTAACTTTGTGCATGAAGTTGAATAAATAAATAACTAAATAATTCAGTTATTTGAGTAATTCAAAAGTTTTCTCAGTATTTTATGAGAATCGGACAGAACTAACGGTAATCTTACATTAAGTAGATTGAAATGTTTGTCATCAGCGTCACGTTCGAAGTTATATTGGTGAAGCGTGCGTATAAATTTCGAGCAACTCGTTTTTAAATGATAAAATAAATTAAGATTTGACAATAATGCCGAGACCCTTTCCATACCGTGTGTCCCTTTATCTTTCCGAACCCTTTTGCAGGAAGTCTTATTCATATCGAGTGGAATTTAAGTAAAGGGCACGCGGCCCTTTTCATGCGAATGAAAGTCAAAAGATACATTACGGATTTAAAAGTTTAAAGGGACTTTTGTGGACTTGTTGTTTTAAACGTTGTTACTATGTTAGGCATTGACATTTCGTTGATAGTGTCCAAGCATTATTAATGGCTTGGGGGCCTTAACGACAAAGGATGATGACCGAGTTGGTGATATTGCTCGGTAGACCGACGGTCCGAATGTTGTTGTTCGGAACCGACGCCTTCAGCTCTAACACTAGGAGCAGGCTTAGGGACCCCGGTAACCGTACTCGTCGAACTCGACAAAGAGTTCGCCGTGCAATCTAACCCATGAATCAGCTCGCTGAGTTTCTCGCCGGATCTTCTCAGTGGGTCGCGATTCCGATCCGGTAGTAGATTCATTCGCGAAGCAGCTGCTCTTTAGCTATTAGGTCTCCTTCGGAGGCGCTCGGGTAGCTGTTAGCAAATCCCACCCCTCCTGGCTGAGCCTTTGCTCGCCCATCTGTCCTGGTGAAACTGGAAAGGCCTCCGGGCCACCAGTAATCCTTCAATAATAATAAAAAAAAAAAGTTCGGAACTTGTATATATGCAAGCTTATCTTGAAAATTTCGTAAGCTGGATATATCTGTCAAATAATAAGTCAGATTTTTCTAGTCGAATAACGAAAATATATTTCTCGCAGATTTCGCCAATGATCTTTAGCTCTTCATACGTGCTTAGCTACTTTTATACAGGTAACTTAGTGCGAGTTTTTTAACGTTCTCGGCAGCGTTAAAGTTAACGCAAGTTTGTATGGAGTTGGAACGTTTGTTTGTCGCTAGGGGCGCTGTTGCAACTTCAAAAAAATTTGAGTTAACTTTTACGCTATCGAGAACGTTAAAAAACTCGCACTACGCACACTGGTCTCTTCTTAATTATCTATTTATCAAACTGTCTTCTTTTATCTTATTCAATCTATCTTACATACATTTTTGTCTATCGGACATTTTTTATTTTCCCATCTTTCCGGCTCTTTTCGGTGACAACTGAATTCCACATGTCTTATTAACATCACGAATTTAATTAAAAACTACATAATTATCGTCCAAAAAAACTTGAGAGGTGTCAAGGGATACCCGGATGGAACGAAGTTCCTTTCGATTAATTAATGAAGGAATTGTAATAAAATTTTATTTTTTTTAAGTTATAATAATATTTTTTTTATTATTAACAAATATAATGTTATATAAGAGAGAGAGAGACAGAGAGAGAGACAGACAGATAGACAGAGAAACATGCGACGCCGCACAGCTTACAATAGCTTACTATAGCAAAAAGTGTCGTGACAACTTTTCGTAAGAATTTTTTCCGTCTAGGCCCCTTTCACAACGCGCGATAAGGAACTTCGTTCCAATTATCGTCCAAAACAATCTGTATCCGGAAAATAAAATTTATTCCAAGCTTAGACTGTGTGTATAGCTTTTAGTTAGCCGTGATACCGATTCAAAGGTTTCGGGATACATTTCGACATTATAATCAGTTTAAATTCGAAGTTTCCAACAAAACTTCTAAATTGTTTATTTGTTTTCTTATTTTTTTCGATTCTCGAAATACGTTTCTCTATTATCGGCGAGTTTAGGGCCAGTTTTAAATATAATAACGCATTGCGACGTAAGCTGTTTCAGACACAAATGTAGAACCATGCGCATAAGGCATTCGGGACTTGGCTCTCGTGGGGTCAGGCTGCGTACTGGCTTGTCGTCAGCGCGGATACAAGATCGGAAATAATTCGTTTGCAAACGATATAATAATAAAAGGCGTATGCGTTTTCGTGTGTGGAGTGCGTGTTTTTAGATTTTGTGGTGTGTCGGGTGTTATTTTTTGGGTTAGCAGCAGAAAGTGCGTGTGAATTTTTAGTGAATTATTTTTGAGCTGTGGAAATCAAAGAACTGAGTGAGTATTTTTCATGTTTTACGTGTTAAAAGTTTTGGTGGTGTTTTTTTTTTGTTGAACTCACTACGAAATATATTGTGTTGTTTACGACCGTCAAATGTAGCGAAAGAGATTAACGACCCTAATAAAATGAGCACTACAATGGAATTCCCGTGAAATTCGGTCGCCACCGGAATTTCTACGGGAATTTCTTTTTTGAGTAGCTTAATGTAATTTTGGTTTTTTTTTTTTTCGGCACGTAAATAAGGATTTAGACATGCAATTTTTGGGCGTTTTAGAGCGTAAAAGTTTTGTATCTTGAAGTTTGAATATTTTTAATGCATAGTGAGTCTTGTGAGACTGCACGGGTGAGTTCCATAATTCTGCACATTTCAGACTTGGTACAGTCATACGTTTCTGTTTGGAGGGTGGGGGAACCGTTATACAACAAATTTGAGATTTGCACATCAGTTTCAAGTTTATTTATTGATTTTATTTATTGCTTAGACGGGTGGACGAGCTCACAGCCCACCTGGTGTTAAGTGGCTACCGGAGCCCATAGACATCTACAACGTAAATGCGCCACCCACCTTGAAACATGAGTTCTAAGGTCTCAGTATAGTAACAACGGCTGCGCCGCACTTCGAGCCGAAACGCATTACTGCTTCACGGCAGAAATAGACGGGGAGGTGGTACCTACCCGTGCGGACTCACAAGAGGTCCTACCACCAGTGAAGGCGACATTCATGATGCGATGTCCATGGGCTCTGCTAACCACTTAGCATCTCTCTTTCTAGCTATTTATCCCACAAGGTGGTGGGGTCAGCTTTCCTTATTCTCTCTGTCTTGGACATCCTCGTCAGCAATATTGTATTCCTTTTAATCCTTGAGCACTTCATCTTTCCAAATTGCCTTGGGTCTACCTCTAAGTCTCCGACCAGTAGTCGAAATTTGGCTACAATTAAATGAAATTATAAATTTGAACATTATTATGGTTCTATTGTCAAAGACTATTTAATATGTTTCTATAATGAAAGATTTCACGAAGACTACACTACAGACAAACAATATTAATCTATTCTCAATTTTGACAATAAATAAAGAGCTTAACACTGATCATACTTAACACTTACTTATCTATTTCTACCATAGCGGGTAGGTAACGGTATCCGATAAGTATTACTCAAAATAAAAAAAACAACACAAAAAAATATATAATAACTGTAGATTAATTAGTAAGAAAAAGTGATGAAGTCATATGTAGATGATACGTGAATTGTTCAATGCAAAAGTTCAGAATGGGTCATTTCATTTTGACCCGTTACAGTATCTTTAGTGTTAAATATATTTGTTGTGTCAAATATATGGTAGTGAGTGTAATATTTTTTAATTGATTTTATATGGATATTTAAAAAAAAACTTAACATTCAACATTCCTTCTCTATATTCTCTATAAATGTGGAAAATTTCGTACTCCTCCGTCCGCGCAATTTTCTTAAAAAGGTTACAAAGTTTTTGCTTCACGTATTTAATATATAGGTATCAAATCGAATTGACTATAACGCGAGTTGTGCTTGAGAAATGAGGTCGGAGTCTCAACGAAGCAAAACTATTAATTTTATTTAAAACTAGCTGACCCGGCAGACTTCGTAGTGGCTCAATCGATGAATAAAAGATCAAAAATTTTGTATAAAATAAACTTAAAACAAACAAAAGGAATCCGTCCGACGGGGCACACATCAAAGGAAAAACAAAATTGTTATTTTTATTTAATACCTGAGCATTTTCATATTTATCTACCTATTAAACCTTCGCTGTACTTCCACAAATAATTCAAGACCAAAATTAGCCAAATCGGACCAGCCGTTCTCGAGTTTTAGCGAGACTAACGAACAGCAAATCATTTTTATATATTATATAGAAGATTTGTAATCATTTCTATATATTAATACGTGAAGCAAAAACTTTGTATCCCTTTTTACGAAAATTGCGCGGACGGAGGAGTATGAAATTTTCCACACTTATAGAGAATATAGAGAAGAAGTGCACAATGCTAATATTTTTTTTAAATAATGCATAAAAGATACATTAAATCAATAAAGAAAACATTACACACACTACATACCATGTATTTGACGCACGCGTGCATACTATTTATTGTCAAACTTTTGTTCTTGACGTTTGTTGTCAAATTGAGAATAGATTAAATATTATTTGTCTTTATTAATATTTTTTATAGTGTAGCCTTGGCGAAATTTGTGATTATATAAGTATATAATACAATCATAATAGTGTACAAACTTACAATTCCAATTAATTATAGTCGAATTTCCACTACTGCGGGACCTCTAGTTTAATTAAGAATTTGACTTAATCACACGCACGATTGGCATTTAATTATCAACGTGTTAAGAATGTTAAAACATGGCGATGCGTTTGAATCGTTTAGTTTACGGGATATAACACGTGAGGTTTTTCTTTTCTCATTTTCTTTCTTCGACGAGTGAAGGAGATCACGGCCCACGTGGTGTTGAGTGGTTACTGGAGCCCATAGACATCAGCAACGTAAATACCACCCACCTAAAGATACGAGCTCTATTTTTTTTATATCCCTTGTAGGCAGACGAGCTTACGGCCCACCTGATGGTGTGTGGTTACCGTCGCCCATGGACTTCGGCAATGCCAGGGGCAGAGCCAGGCCGCAACCTACCGAAAATTCTATTGCAATTTCATTTCTATTAGGACGGTCTGCCCTACCCTACAAACACAAACCAAACTGCTCGTAGTAGAAATATGTAGGGTTGTGGTACCTACACATGCGGGCTCTTAGGGCCATCACTAACTAAGTAAAGGCTTCCTCAAACAGAACGCGTACTTAGCGCCGCGTTTTAACATCGCGCTCTTTTCATGTCACACCAATTGACTAGATGGGTCAAACGCTCCTTGACGCAACGCATTCGCCAAATCATAGTGCCTTTCGATAGCAGTGTGAACATTTAAAAGTAATAAGATTTCGAGTGATTCAGATGTGGCATTGTATAAGCATGGGTATTTTCTAACAATTTCTATAAATTTTTCGGGAATTACCCAGTATCTTAAAGCACATTCACTCGGACTTTAAAAAAAAATTTGTAAAAAATTACAACGCCTGACGTCAAAGCGTCCTAATTGCCCAGTTATAGTTAACGGTATTGCCGGAGTCTGCACCACCCTGCCTATTTCTGCCGCGAAGTAGTGATGCGTTTCGGTTTGAAGGGCGGGGCAGCCGTTGTAACTATACTGAGACCTTAGAACTCATGTCTCAAGATGGGTGGCGGCATTTACGTTGCAGATGTCTATAGGCTCCGGTAATATACATAACTAAGCAATAAAAAAAATAAAAAATAAAAACACGAAAACGGTTAAGAATTGAACTTCATTGCCTGTAAGGTCGCGACTATTGATAATTATTCTTTCGCAGCAAAGATAAGTACAAATATGTCATCAATCCTTACTAATTCATACTTACACTATTCGTTAATGCTCTGCAGTAAATTGTATTACAAAAAAATAGGTACTTTAAAACTATAAAATCACATTTAAATCACGAATTGAACTAATGATTAGTTTGATCTTTTCACTTGTCCTGTTGACACTGGTTGGGTTATTAGAGCGATATTATAAAATTACTAGCTGTACTCGTCCGTTTCGCTGGGCATTTAAAATTAACATTATTATTTCTCACCCCCACAAAGATTCTCATCATTAACGCCCCTGCAACTAGTGTAGGGAGTCCAACACTCATATAAATATTAGCCTATCCATTAAGTACATGTATTTTCTACACGGATACCAAGTTTCAAATCAATCGGATGCATGGTTCAGTAGTTATAACGGAACATCCGTAAAAACCACTGTAGATTTATATATTAGTATAGACTGTATCATCATTCGTCCTTGATGCGTGTGAAAAAATCAAGTCAATGTCAAGTCGTCCGGAAGTCAGTGAAAATGACGTTTAAATATTCTTTTACATACTTAACTACACACATACCGAGCAAATAAAAGCGTGTAAAAATGTTTATTAGCCGGCGACGCCCGTCGAATGTTAATATCATTTCAAAAAGCAGAACCTTGGGTTTGTCTACACCTATAGCTATAAGGCCTTATGGATGACGATATTGTTTGATAGTTTTGGAGTAGTTTTAAGGTTGTTGATGTTCAGTGCTCTTCACTTACAAGCTTAGTTGTTAGCCAGCGAAAGTAGATAGATTTTTTACAGCCCACCTGGTGTTAAGTGGTTACTGAAGCCCATAGACATCTACGACGTAAATGCATCACCCACCTTGAGATATAAGTTCTAAGGTCTCAAGTATAGTTACAACGGCTGCCCCATCCTTCAAACCGAAACGCATTTTTTATTTTTTTTTTATTGCTTAGATGTGTGGACGAGCTCGCAGCCCACCTGGTGTTAAGTGGTTACTGGAGCCCATAGACATCTACAACGTAAATGCGCCACACACTTTGAGATATAGTTCTAAGGACTCAGTATAGTCACAACGGCTGCCCCACCCTTCAAACCGAAACGCATTACTGCTTCATGGCAGAAATAGGCGGGGCGGTGGTACCTACCCGTGCGGACTCACAAGAGGTCCTACCACCAGTAATTACGCAAATTATAATTTTGCGGGTTTGATTTTTATTACACGATGTTATTCCTTCACCGTGGAAGTCAAACGTGAACATTTGTTGAGTACGTGTTTCATTAGAAAAATTGGTACCCGCCTGCGGGATTTGAACACCGGTGCATCGCTCAACACGAATGCACCGGACGTCTTATCCTTCAGGCCACGATATTTAGATACATATGTGATCCTGAAGTACATTCCGTCTCTTTGTGTACATAACTCTGTTGTACGATAAGAATACCGAAACAGAATCTTTTATTTGCCAAGATAAAGAATACATGTTTATTTTATGGTTCAGATATGTCAGCGATTTTGACTTACTAACGCGCGTGTAGTTCCATTTGTTTGTTTTAA